AGTAAGAACCCATTTTTTGTTCAAACTGAGAGGCAAATCATGTTTTTCCATCATTAATATCACAGGCTTAAATTAAAGTACTTATGGTGTGATTAACTGTAAAATGGCAGTATGAAAGTCTAAAATGTCACTTGAATGTCTTACACACTTCAAATGTTCGTGTTTCAGTCAGAAGTAGCGTCAAACCCAGGCTGAATCCCAAACTGCTCCGTACTCCCTAAATAAGGTACTAGCTATGGAAGTTTAGAAATTCTAGCTTATACAGCCAAACAGTGCATCATTTATCGAGTGTGGATGTGTCTGAGTCCCAAACGACTATTTCTCAGCTATATTTTGCACCGTTGGGCTGCAGGATGTCAGGAGCAGAGAGCCATTTAAGATTCAGCCCCTCCGTGAGAAGAGGGGCGCCGCTGGATTGGCGCTAAATAAGCCTCGTGGTGTTAATTTGGTGACCAAAAAGTGCTTTTAAAGTGAAAGTTTTTGCATTAATCAGTGCTGTGTTATCATATGTTCATTGTTATACGACAAAAAGTTTAAAAATGCAATATACAGCAATGGCCGACTGAACGTTCTGCTCAATTAGCGGCCCATGGTTGCTTGGCAATGATACCATACTCTAAAGGAACTACATTTCTTGGTGGAATACTTGTTTATATTGATTATTATTGATAATAACTTTGTGTATTTTATCATATTTTATGTTGGCCGCTGCTTTATAAAAGCAAGAAGCCACTTGAGGCTGAGCGTTACTGCAATTTTATCATAGGTGAGGGAGTTTTTCACTCCACTTCGTGTCGTGCCTAAGAACACCCTTCCAGTGATAAAATCACAGTAATGCACAGTCTGTTGTGGCTTATTGCTTTATTAACATACCATTCATGTTTACTTTCTAGTGCACTTATTGGTGTTGTAATAGCGCTTGGTGACTTTATCCTCACCTGGAAGAATAAAAAAATTGCTAAACTGTTGTTGGCTTTGCCTGCAAGTGTTAGCAAAGACAGAAAATGTAAGAGTTACAGCAGCTCTGCTTCCACACGACTGCGCACAAGTTATCTACTCAGAAGAACAGCCAACCTTCTGATTTGGCCTAGAACTCTATGTATTTCTTCCTGAACTGAAGTCGTGACATACATCAATCAGGCATAACATTCTGACCACCTCCTTGTTTCTACGCTCATTGTCCATTTTATCAGCTCCACTTACTATATAGGTGCACTTTGTAGTGCTACAGTTACAGACTGTAGTCCATCTGACCCCCTTTTACCCTGTTCTTCAGTGGTCAGGACCCCCATGGACCCTCACAGAGCAGGTACTATTTGGGTGGTGGATCATTCTCAGCACTGCAGTAACACTGACATGGCGGCGGTGTGTTAATGTGTGTTGCGCTGGTCTGAGTGGATCAGACACAGCAGTGGTTGATAATGTCCTGGGCTTGTGCTTTGTGTATGTGCGTTTATGTGTCTCACTGACACTCCCACTGGAAACTAAAGAGGATTACGTAGAACACCTCGCCTCATTCGTTCTGACAACCCATCACCACTATTTTGAAAGTACATCATGCATGAGTGGAAACGTAACGTCCTGACTCACTAAAATGTGCACCAGTCTGCAGAAAAATGTCCTGGCAATAACACCGTGTCTGTAAGAACATGTACCTCCTAAGATAAATATCAAATATAAGAGTCGGTGCGGGCATAGGCGTGGTTTGGCCTCAGGGAGTGGGCTTGACATCACCCACCCCTATCCTGTCTCCTCACTCTCCAAGATACACAGCTGTGCTGCTTTATATGCTATCAGTGTTGTGTTTGGCTGGCATTCAGATTCAAGCTGCAAAGAATGAACTCGGTTTTTCACTTATTTTGACTGAAACATCTAATTAGACACTTAATGGTCCTGAGATGTTAATCTGAGGTGTGGTACTAATGATTTCTGCTGAAAAAGCCTGCAACAAGGTGTGTCCTAATCGTAAGTGATAACTGTGCTCGGGGTGTGTTTGCCCAAACCAGACAGCAGAAACAGAAGCAGGTAGGACAAGATTGACAAAAACTTGTTCTTCTGTGTTTCTTACAAGAATTACAAGGGAAAGGTCAGCGCAGAAAGATAATACAGCACACCTGCAACACCTGCAAGCTGTGCACACTGAAAAAAATGTCTGTCAGTTCAACCTAAAAAAAATACTTCATGTGGTAACAAGTAATTTAACCCTTGTGTGGTGTTCAGGTCTGTGGGACCCATTTTCAGTGTTTACCAGATGAAGAAATTATGCAATTTATTAACACTTCAACCTCAGATTCTTGGCCTTTGCTCATTTTCTGTGATGAACATGTAAAATAGCCCATTTTCAGTGTCTTCACTCTGTTCACCCCCCACACATTTATATTACACATGTGGTGTTGGGCTGAAACTGCGGGGAGTAAAAGTGTGGAGGTGTTGTGTCCTTCACTCTGTTCTCCTCCTACAAGGCCTGCTGTTAGTGTGTGTGTCTGTGTGTGAATGTGTTTGTATGTGTGTGTGTGTGTGTGTGTGTGTGTGTGTGTGTGTGTGTGTGTGGACAACATGGACAGGCTGCTGACTGGCTACAGCTGCTAAAGGAGAACCCGACGCTGGACACTTGTGATATTTTAAACATCTGGTATCTTTACCTAAATTGTTATGGCTGAATTGATTTAAAAGACCTATATGGTGGGTCCATCAGACCACTGAGTAACAAACACATCAACACCACACAAGGGTTAAATAGTTTTATTCAACCTAAATAAATACTTGAATGAACGATTATTTCAAAGTAATTTTCTGAGTTGAATAAAACTATTTAAGTTTGTTTACTAAATACTATTTAAAACTATTTGTTTGTTACTAACCTGCCCAGGGTGTATCCTGCCTTTCGCCTAATGACAGCTGGGATAGGCTCCAGCACCCCATCGTGACCCAGAAGGATAAGTGGTTTAAATGATGTGTGTGTGGAAAAAAAAGTAGGTGTGTTGGAATAATGAAGGTATTTCAATTGAACAAAAAAAAAACATGGTCAAATCAGGATCCCGCTTGTCTACTTGGTATTTGCCATTAAAATGTAATCCCTCTGTGAAAGAAAAGTGAAAAAGGTCAAATATACAGTTTTCCACTCACCCCAGATGTAGGTGGTCAGCTGAGGTATGTTTGGTGTCCAAATTTATTTTTCATTCTACTCAAAAAATGACATTGATTGAGAGAATCGTTCATTTAAACTATTTAGTTAGGTTGAATAAATCTAGTTTATTTACTTGTTACGACATGATTTTTTTTTAGGTTGATGTGATGAACCATTCTTGACAGTGTAGGAGATTAACAGTCACGGCTATGACTGTGAGCTACGAACATTAGCAATGCTCCACTGTAGCTGAACACTGTGGGTGACTATTTTAGGCAACAGATGTTGTGCCAAATTCTGACTCCTCCAGTGTATCAGACTCACATTCACATGCATGATGAAGGCATATGGCTTTAGCATCCCAATGCCTGCTTATACTTGAAGAGCAGTCAGAAATCAGCACAACACCATACTGTGTCCAAAACCACATCAACAACCCTGTGCAACCTTAATAAAAAAGATTTGGGTGACTATTGACTTCAAGTTCAAGTTTGTTACACTGTAAAAAACTAGTTTGTCCATTCAACCTAAAAAAATGACATTATGTGGCAACAAGCAATTGAACTAGTTTTATTCGACTCAAAAATTGTTTTGATCTTATTTATTTAGATTAATAAAACATTCAATTTCTTATTGCTACATGAAGTCATTTTTCAGGTTGAACTGACGAACCATTTTTTACAGTGTAGCAAAATTAGCTCCAGTTTAAAATGAAAGAAGCAAAATTTGGACACAACACACATCTTGGCTGATTGCCTACATCTGTGGTAAGTGGAACATTGTGCAAATCTGATTTTTTGCCAGACCATTCCTATCAGAGCAAACTGCCTTGAACCCTTACGCAACGTAGCTTCTCTCCCTCATAAAAAGAAACAAGAACTGCCAGTCATCAGTGACTAGAGTGATAGTCAGCTGGTATAAAACCTGCTAACATGTGAGAAAGAACCAAAGAGGAACGCCTTGAAGGGAAGTTCCACTGATTTTTTCAAATGATTGCATGTTTCAGTTGTATTCAGTCACTCAGAGTGGAATGAGGTGAAATGCTTCATTTTTGTGATTTAGCCAATTTATTCACATCCCAAACCACCGGAGAACCTACATGTGTCTCCTGAGCTTTTATATGCAATGCTGATGATGAAGAGTGATAAATCTTTTTTTTGCGTGCTGCTTTATCTTACAATGCCATGCGTGTATGTCTCCACCCTGAATGGACAAAAGCTTTTTAGATCAAAATCATTAGTTTTAGATTCAAATCTTATCTCGAAACTATAGTAACACCATATCTCAGCCATCAGCAAGTGCACTCACAACATTTCATCTAATGGCTTTCTGTGAAGGAGCTTTTAGAGGCATTGAACTCTTCTGGCATCGCTGTGAACAATTCTGATGCAGCAGTTTTCTCTACAATGGAACACTTCACATCAAACCACTTGAAATGGTTTACATTTTAACCATTTAATTATGCAGAAATTTCTGTGGAATTCCCCTTTTAAATGGCCAGGAGCGGCTAACAAGTCCAGACGTCCACTCCTCAGTCCTGTAACTGTAGAATAACTCAGCCAGGTTGCCTTTTTTACTAACTAATAAGCCTGAGGATATAATAAGCCTGGGATTTTAAGAGGTCAAAAGCCTCCACTTAGAAAAGTCCCTGACAATTAGGAAAAATCAAATCACTCTGTTTTAGGACGTTCTACTGAAGTTCTATACGCTGTTACTTTTGGCTCCTGATCAACAGTGTAAGGGGGGAAGACATTCCTTCAATGCACTGCAGGCCATTTGCTTTGTCTCCAGAGAAAGAGGAGTGTTCCATGGGTGGAGCTTTCCTCCTGTAGATAAGTTCTAGAAGCAGAGGACTGAAAGCGCACCTTCCACTCTCCCTCCACCAGTGTACATCTGGCAAATCCCCCTCAGCTCTCTGCCAGCTGAAAGCATTCTCCGCCTGACGGAGACCGGACCATCTTACGAGCTCACAAACCGAGGTAAGGAGTAACGTCTGAACGTTGTCTGGACATAGCTCTCTTTCATGTTTCACCACTTCGCTGACAGAGCACATTCCATTGCATTTACTCTGGACGCGAGGAAGTGGCCGAGGAAGCGTAACAGAATAGGTTTATTTGGGTCAGTGTCCTGGGAGGTCTACAGTTGCGGTCATGCAGTAAAGAGGCACTGCAAACATTTACACACAGCTACCTTTGACCATTCATGACTGAGGCGCAATGTAAGTAAGTGATGATTGTTAAACATAATTTAAGGGTGGGTCACTCACTTATATGGTCTTTGGTAGATAACAGATGTACCAGGACTTCCTTTTACTAGGGTGTAGAGCAAGAACGGTTGAATTGTTATTATTCACTGAAGAGCCACCTTTTAACTTATGTGTAAATGAAAATAAGAATAAATACAGTAAAATGTATGTTGCACTGACCAAGCACTGGATGATAAATACAAATAATACTGGGTTGCTACAAAAAAAAGCTTTGGAAATGGTTAAACAAACTCACATACATGAAATCACCACTTATTGCACTGATATGATCCTAATAACTGTAAAATAAGTCTTTTTCTGAGCAAATAAACACCTACTGCCCAGATAAGCTGTTGAATCATAGTTTATTCCCCACTGTCAATGTGAAGGTATTCAGTTACATAAAAGTAGTGTCCAATAGCCCTGCCCATACTTGCGGTCTTCCATGCACAAGGATGAAAATATGCCCGTGCAGGAAAGGTGTCATTTCCGTCGCTATGCCAGACGTGTTTGGGACATTTACATCATGAAGAAAGAATGCTATTCATCTCTAACAAGGTATACCTGATGAAACTTGCACACCGAAACCCATCACTGTTGCTAGAACAAATTCCAGAAGGACTTGTAAAATGTTTTTCTATTGCCACATCAGTGCAAAAGAACATTTACGCCAGGTGTTGTTGGGACACTTTCCCTCATTTGAATAAAAAAGCTGTTGCAAAGAACTGGGGTGGATTTTCTGGACAAGGCAATGCCTCTCATGCTTGAGATCTGAGCTGAATTGGAGCGAATTCTAACAGATTTGGGTGGTTTTGGTTTTGTCGTTTGGATTTGTGGCGCCCTTTGTGACAATATGGCCATTGTGCTTCATAGCCAGTGTCATATTACTCTACTGCAAATACCACAACACATGCATGTTTGGTAAACACAGTCATTAGGGCCTCTGAGTGAAATAATGTTACCCTTCTCGCCTCAAATATTGTGGAATTGTTAATAGATTTTCTCATGTATTTTCCAACACTGTTATCTACAAAAATGAACAAAACTAGTGGCTTCAAGGCAGCTGCTGTTACTGTTTTTAGCTGTGCAACATACTTTCGTGCGTGTTTACAGATAAGAGTGTGTCATACAGACTCATAAAACACAAAAGCAAGTCTAATTACTTTACTGCTCAAAATGGTCTCAGGCAAGTGTGTGATGATTTATGTATACAGTTGGCACAGAGCTAATAAGCGAGGCGTAAGCTCCCAGGGCCTTGAAGCTCCAGACCCTGTACATATATTGTTGTTATCCAAAAAAATTCTCCATTTTTGTTTATTTTTTCTGCATCAATTGAACATGGCGGCTGTCGTTTACATTGAAAATATAACAATGAATGGACCAATAGAAATGCTCTAACATTACTTGGAATAAAACCACTTTACATTAACTTACATTAAAAGTTAAGACAGTTTTTGCCCTCTTCTGTAAAGACACTATTTTGGAGATTTGCGTTGGACAGTGACTAAATGCAGTTGTATGGAAATCTTTGAATACTCCCCAAATCACATGTTGATTTTCAATTTTCTAAGTGAAAATAACTTCTCCACAGAGGAGTCATATTCATATTATTAATAAGATATTTTTTCTGCAAACTGCACTGTAAAAATGTCTTGTCAGATCAACCTAAAAATTACTTCATGTAGTAACAAGAAAATGAACTAGTTTTATTCAACCTATATATTTTGAAAGAATGGTTCAATCAATGTCATTTTTTGAGTTGAATAAAACTGGTTTGATTGCTTGTTACTATGATGCAATTTGTTAAGGTTGATCTGACGATAACACTGGAAAAAAATGTAAAAATGTGTCATAAGTTTTGCACGCACAAGATTTGATATTTTTCCCAATATGCTAAATTCAGCATATAATTAGTAATTGAGTATTAAAATGTGCAGAAGTGTGCTCTCTGTAGAGGGTGTGTTCACTTATTTTCACTTAGAATGTAGTTTGACCAGGGGTGCCAAAACCTTTGCACAAAACAGTACATACACAATATGCGTTAAAGCACCTAAGCACTTTTATTTAAAACCATTTATTTTGAAAAAAAGTTTGTTTTTCCTGTAAAAATCTTATTTTCAAAAAAGTGGCTGATATTTTAAGTAGTAAATAGCTAAAGTTTGGCTCCAGATTCTCCTGGATGCCTTTAGTCAAACTTCATCACCAGCTCAGTTGATTAATGAAGTATGATCAGCCAAACAAGGTGCTGGATGATAATGAAATGCTGACGGCCTAGAATAACTGCTGTTTTTTGCACAGCACTGTATAGACAGTCTATTCAGAACTGTATACATGCTTAGATTATTCAATTTTGCTAGAATACTGTCTAATTGATTTCGTGGTGATATTAGCATGCAACATTGTTTTCACTGGAGATGGAGTTATGCAGTGACCAAAAGCCCTAAAACCATATGCGATGACCAAAATACAGTATCATTTAAGTAGCATAGATGGTGTGAAAGGTCTGGAGTTGTCTACTTTCAGAGGTTTGCAGCCAATAACAAAAGATCCCTGATGGGAAAAGAAGTTTCAGGAATGTTTATCTTGTCATCTCTGCCTGTGGGAGTCTGTGTTTCGTATGTGAGTGAAATGTCATGATGCAATTTCTCAGCGAGAGAAAAGTTAGATGTATTGTGACATACTGTGATTTAATACTCCCTACTTTTAGACAGAATGATGAGAGAGTGATTTTTTTTTTGTTCAGCTTTAGAGAAGATTTATCTTATCCATTAGAAAGCTCCCTTTCCTAGTGTTGTGTGTGGATCTTATAAAAGTTTACTATGGAGTTAATCTGTACCTAAAATATACTGTATATGCTTAACCTACACATAAACGGGTGACCTGATTCCAGTTTGATGGTGCGACATGTCCTACCAATGAGGTTTCTTAGAGCCTGTCCCTTCGAGAACACACCCAAAATGAAGATAGCACTGAAGGGAGTTGTCTGTTGCGATATTCTGCATATCTTAACTCTGAAACATCAATAGATTAGAAACTGGACTGTCTTGTGTAGCTTGGGAAAGAAGATTTACATGGTGAAGCTTTCATGCAACTAGTTTCATGCAATGTAATTTTAATGCAACATGAAACAATTAGAAACAAAGTTGCACATAATTACTTAATAAACTACTTAGTCAAATTAGCTTCCATGCAACCATCCATTCATCCATCCATCCATCCATACATACATCTATCTGATTACCTGGAGTAGCATTTTATGCTTTTTGCTATGACAATACCTGTATATCATTTAGGTTTTCCTTTAGCTTGTAGTATTTAAAGCTGTATAATAATAATAATAATAATAATAATAATATTTTTCATTTACACACACATCCTGAGCTTTCCTTATTTTTACAGAATATTCAATATAATATTTGAAAATGAAAATATCCAATTCTTGCAAACCTAATTTTTTGATTTGCTATTTTATGCAACTTGTTTCACAAAGCTGCAACTGTTCAAATGAGTTGCAAATGTGGGATGTTTGACATGCAATACCACCAAAATTTAGTTTCACGAAAATGCACATTTAAATATTTTTCTCTTTTTGTCAGGGTCCACTGACATTGGATGACTCATTTTTTACACTATCAGTGCAGACAGTTTGTTGATTTTTTACAGATTAAGGACACTTCTACTGCCTAATGTTTTGTGTAACCAGTCGCTGTCATAAAACCTTATTACTCCTTTATAGCTGTTTATTCTAACACTGAGATCATTCTAATGATCTCTATGATGAGCTCCCTGCATGCATGATGATCCACTACTAGACCTTTAGGGAATTAGTATCCTAAAGATAGTAAAGCATTAGTTAATCAGCAAACTTAATGTACAACATTTCATCATTTACCAGCATCCTGCATTTCCAGTTTCACTATGCTCACACCAGCTGCCCATTTTCGTAAACAGACCCTTATGTTTTGCCTGAATGTCATGTTGGCCTGTACACACACACACACACACACACACACACGCACACACACATGCACACCGATCAGGCATAACATTCTGACCACCTCCTTGTTTCTACGCTCATTGTCCATTTTATCAGCTCCACTTACTATATAGGTGCACTTTGTAGTTTTACAGTTACAGACTGTAGTCCATCTGTTTCTCTGATACTTTGTTAGCCCCCTTTTACCCTGTTCTTCAGTGGTCAGGACCCCCATGGACCCTCTCAGAGCAGGTACTATTTGGGTGGTGGATCATTCTCAGCACTGCAGTAACACTGACGTGGTGGTTGTGTGTTAGTGTGTGTTGCGCTGGTCTGAGTGGATCAGACACAGCATTGCTGCTGGAGTTTTTAAACACTGTGTCCACTCACTGTCCACTCTATTAGACACTCCTACCTTGTCAGTCCACCTTGTAGATGTAAAGTCAGAGATGATAGCTCATCTGCTGCTGCACAGTTTGTGTTGGTCATCCTCTAGTCCTTCATCAATGGTCACAGGACACTGCCCACAGAACGCTGTTGGCTGGATATTTTTGGTTGGTGGACTATTCTCAGTCCAGCAGTGACACTGAGGTGTTTAAAAACTCCAGCAGCACTGCTGTGTCTGATCCACTCAGACCAGCACAACACACACTAACACACCACCACCACGTCAGTGTTACTGCAGTGCTGAGAATGATCCACCACCCAAATAGTACCTGCTCTGAGAGGGTCCATGGGGGTCCTGACCACTGAAGAACAGGGTAAAAGGGGGCTAACAAAGTATCAGAGAAACAGATGGACTACAGTCTGTAACTGTAAAACTACAAAGTGCACCTATATAGTAAGTGGAGCTGATAAAATGGACAAAGGAGGTGGTCCTAAAAACGCACAATTTGTGTTTATACTTCTTAATACTCTTTTTTTAAATACTCTTTAATACTTTTTAAAATGTCTGCTTGTTACAAACAAGCCTTTAAAAGAGACATTCACAAATTGAGACTTAAATAAACAGAGTAGACACACAGTATCCCTCCCTCTAAGCCCTGGCTGTAATAATATGAATAACCAAATTATCATCAGGTATGTCAACAACATGTGGTATAAAACCATGGAATATCAACTTCAATAAAAAGCTGATACGGTTGACATCTGGTCTACAGGGAAATAATGCCATGGTTCTGTCTCACTTAACTGTTTTTTTAATATATTATGTATTCCAGTTCATCTGGTATACTTTATATGTCATGATATATATTATTTTATTCTTTCATATAACATGTATTTATGTGTTGAGTTCTGTTCATAGCCATTTCATTGCAAAATAATATATGGGAATTTATTACAGTGACAGGGAAACTTCATTGGCAGACACAGTTGGTGGAATTCAGCATTATAGTAGACAGTAGAAAGGTTATGCCAAAATATGAAACAAGAAGTAAAGTGTAGCACTTTATATGTGTAGCACATATGTTTGTCACAGCAAACCTGATTTTGGCGTAATAGTTAATGAGGTAACTGCACATGTAGTGTTTGTATTTCAGTACAAAAACATGGAACTGTTCTTCCATTTCCTTATGTTCCTACACAAATGATATGCATATATTACAGTGCTTCAGAACTGTTTTTCTTCATTTTTTTATACACAGGTTTGGGAGCAAGAGATCATCAGAACATGGCAGCCCAGGAAAATGGCCAAACTCGAGGGGCAGTGGCTGGGGTGTTTCTCGAAAAGTCAAATGAGACTATCACCATATACCAAGCCTTTAAAAAGCGGCTACTAAAATCAGGAACATGTTTGGCTCTTTTAGAAGCCCAAGCTGCAACTGAGGGAATCATCGACCCTCTTAACAACAGAAAGCTCTCAGTTGAAGATGCTGTCAAAGAAGGAATTGTTGGGCCAGAGATGAAGGAAAAGCTGCAATCTGCAGAAAAGGCTAGAAAGGGTTATGTAGATCCTTATACCAACCAACCAATCTCATTATTCCAAGCAATACAAAAAGATGTGATTCCCAAAGAATATGGGATCAGGTTGCTTGAAGCTCAGATCTCAACAACAGGCATTTATGATCCTGTTGAGCAGTGTCACATTTCAGAAGAGAAAGCTTTTGAGATGGGGCACTATGAAAAAGGTATCTTTACAGACCAGGTGGACACACTGAGAGTGTTCTATGACCCAAATTCTCAGGAAAATCTCTCATATTCACAACTGGTGGAGAAATGTTTTGCGGATCCACAGACTGGCTTGCAACTCTTCCCAGTGTACATTACATTCAAGGGTCTCCGTAGGGGAGTGACTTCCACTGAGCTGCTGGCATCGAAAATCATTGACCAAAAAACGTATGACGATCTACAAAAGGGCACAACCACCACAAAAGATGTCATGCTTATGGAAACAGTTAAGGAGTATCTGGAGGGGAAAGGGAGCATTGGGGGAGTGGCAGTGCTCTCCTCTAATGAGAAAATGAGCATCTATCAGGCAATGAAGAAAAGCATTCTCATGCCTGGTACAGCATTAATTTTATTAGAAGCACAGGCAGCTACTGGATTCATGATAGACCCTGTTGAAAACAAACAGTTCAGTGTGGATGATGCCATCAAAAACAAACTTGTAGGCCCAGAGTACCACGCAAAATTAATTGCAGCAGAACGTGCTGTCACTGGTTACAAGGATCCATATACTGGTAAAACAATTTCACTGTTTCAGGCACTGTCAAAAGATCTGATTGTCAAAGAACATGGCATCCGTTTGCTTGAAGCGCAGATCGCCACAGGTGGAATTATCGATCCAATAAACAGCCACAGAGTTCCTGTTGATGTTGCATACAAACGAGGCTTCTTTGACGAGGACATGAACGCCATCCTTGAAGATTCTGGAGATGATACCAAAGGCTTCTTTGATCCCAACACAAAAGAAAACCTTACATATCTGCAGCTGATCAATCGTTGTGTTATTGACCCAGCCACAGGCCTCACACTGCTGCCTCTATATGAAGAGACTAGTGGCCAAAATTACACATTCATTGACTACAAAACCAAAGTAACCTTCAAAGCTGTTATGGTTAAAGTGACACATGGAAAGTACAAAGGAATGACCGTTTCACTTTGGGAATTACTGATGTCAGAATACTTCACAGAAACACAAAGGCAAGACATCTTTCAACAGTACAGAAAAGGAACCCGTACTGTTGAGATGATAATCACCTATGTTCTGGAGATTATTGAACATTCAGAGAAAACAACCCATGTGATTTTTGAAGGCATCAGGGACCACGTCACTGCAGATCAACTTGCTGAGGCTGATATCATTACCAAGAATGATCTAGAGAAACTAAAAACAGGGAATATAACTGTGGAGGATATTAAAGAGGATGAATCGGTTCAAATATACCTGCAAGGTAAAACAAGCATTGCAGGGGTCTTGCTTCCTGATTCTCAAATTATGTCAATCTACCAGGCCCAGCGAAAAGGACTGCTAAGACCAGGAACATCACTCATCCTTTTAGAAGCCCAGGCAGCAACAGGATTCATCATTGATCCAATTACAAATAGGAAATTCTCAGTTGATGATGCTGTTAAGGCTAGAGTAGTGGGGCCTGAGCTTCATGCAAAACTGCTGTCAGCTGAAAAGGCAGTGACAGGCTACAAAGATCCATACACCAACAAAACCATATCTTTGTTCCAGGCAATGCAGAAAGAGCTGATCTTGAAAGATCATGGAATTCGCCTGTTGGAAGCCCAGATTGCCACTGGGGGCATAATAGATCCAGTAAACAGCCATCGAATTCCTGTCCATATAGCGTACAAAAAGGGGTACTTTGATGTTGAAATGAATCAGATTCTGGACGATCCATCTGATGACACAAAAGGATTCTTTGACCCAAACACTCAGGAAAACCTTACATATCTGCAGCTTATGAACAGATGTGTCACTGACCCCAGCACAGGCCTCCGCCTTTTGCCAATCAAAGGAAAAGATAAGCGAGTCAAAATACAAGACAGCATCAAAGAGACATTTCAAGCCACATATGTCACTGTGAAATATGGCAGATTCAGCAACAAGAAAGTGACACTCTGGGATCTCATTAACTCTGAATATTTATCAGAAGAGAAGAGACAGAAGCTGACACATGGGTACACGTCAAAGACACTCACAATTGAGGAAATCATTACAACAATTCTGGAAATTATCGAGAACAAAGAAGTTCTGAGGAATGCTGATCTCTACATCAAGGGTCTTAAGAAGAATGTCTCCATTTTGGACCTTCTTAAATTGAACATCATAGATGAGAAAACATACAAATTCTTGCTTGAAGGAAAACTTGCACTGAGAGATATTCTTCAGATGGACTCAGTGAGGAACTCTGTAGAAGGAACCAGCTCCATTGCAGGTGTGATTCTGAAACCATCTGGTCAGAAAATGAACATCTATGAAGCTAAGAAAAAGGGCCTGCTTACCCCTGGTACTGCTCTATGTCTTCTGGAGGCACAGGCTGCCACTGGCTTCATCACTGATCCCATACACAACCAAAAACTCTCCGTTGAAGAGGCCTTAAAACAGAAATTAATCGGGCCAGAGTTATATGAAAAGCTCTTGTCCGCTGAGGGGGCAGTAACTGGTTACAAGGATCCTTACACAGGTGATAACTTGTCCCTTTTCCAAGCCATGAAGAAGGACCTTGTTGTACATCAGCATGGGATCCGTTTACTTGAGGCTCAAATTGCCACAGGTGGCATCATTGATCCCTTGACAAGTGTCCATTTACCTCTTGAAGTTGCTTACAAAAAGGGCTACTTTGATGCAGATATCAACCAGATCCTATTAGACCCAAGTGACGACACCAAGGGTTTTTTCGACCCTAACACAAAAGAGAACTTAACTTACAAGGAGATGACAACAAGATGCATCAAAGATCCAGACTCAGGATTTCTTCTTTTGCCACTGACCGAAAAAGGGAAAGTACAACAAGAAACTGAAAACATCCTCTCTGATGCTGAAATAAAGAAGGACTTTGAGAAGAATACAATCACAATTTCTGTTGGCCGCTTTTCTGGAAAATCTCTTTCCCTCTGGGTGCTGATAAATTCTGAGTACTTTACTGATGAGCAAAGGCAAAAGTTCCTTGAACAATACCGATCAAAGTTGCTAAAAATACAAGACATTGTCACTATAGTCCTTACAACTATCAAAAAACTGGAACAAAGGGAAGCGACTCTTCAAACAACAATGGGCTTCAGAAAACCTGTTTCTGTGCAACAGCTTTTTGATTTTGGAATCATTGATGCCCCTACCTACAAGGACTTGCAGGATGGAAAAACTACTTTGGAACAAGTGGTAAAACAGGATTCAGTGCAACGTTATTTGAAGGGCACAGGAAGCATTGCTGGAGTGAAAATTCATCCGTCGGAAAGAGTGCTGAGTATATACGAAGCCAAAACAAAAGGACTGCTCAGTCCTGATATGGCACTGATACTACTTGAAGCTCAGGCAGCAACAGGTTTTATGATTGATCCCATAAAAAACAATCATCTCTCTGTTGAAGAAGGTGCCAAAGAACAACTCATTGGGCCAGATCTACTTGAGCACTTACTCCTTGCTGAACAAGCTGTTACTGGATTTACAGATCCATACACAGGTGAGAAAATTGCCCTACTTGAGGCCATAAAAAAGGATCTTATACCCAGAAACCATGGACTACGACTCTTGGAGGCACAGCTTGCTACTGGAGGAATCATTGATCCAGTTCTCAGCCACCGACTGCCTGCTAGTCATGCCATAAAACGAGGATGCCTGGATGAGGAGATCAGTCAGCTTCTGGCCAACCCTGATGATGACACAAAATGGTATTCTGACCAAAACACAAAAGGAAATCTCACTTACCACCAACTCAGAGAAAGATGTGTCAAAAATTCAAACACAGGACTTCTGCTTTTGCCTGTACCTGAAAATAATGAGAGGTCAACATACACTGATGAGCAAGTGAAAATGGTCTTCAAAGAGAAATCTCTTATCAATGTTGCAGGAAAGTTTGAAGGACTACGGGTGTCATTGTGGGATGTATTAATGTCAGGGTACATAACAGCACAAAAGAGGAAGCAGCTAATTGAAGAGTACAAATCAGGAAAATTAACATTGGAGGAACTCATACAAATGGTGACAGCAATAATAATTGAAGTGACAACAAAGAGACATTCTTTTAAAGGCCTCAGAAAACAAGTTTCAGCCAGTCAGCTTTTTGAATCAAAAATTATATCGAAAGAAATGTTAACTAAAATCATCAATGATGAAGTAACAGATGATGAAATCAATCAAACTGAATTCATTCAAAAATTCCTTGGTGCAACCAACTGCATAGCTGGGGTGAGAGTTGAATCAACAAAGCAAATTTTAAGCATCTACGAAGCCAAATCCAAGGGACTTCTGACACCTGGAACCTCACTGGTTTTACTGGAAGCTCAGGCGGCTACTGGATTTATGATTGATCCAGTAAAGAACAAAAAACTCTCAGTAGAGGAGGCAGTGGCTCAGGGAGTTGTGGGGATTGAATGGAAGAACAAACTTCTGTCTGCAGAGAGAGCAGTCACTGGCTACACTGACCCTCACACTGGGAACACCATCTCACTGTTCCAGGCCTTGAAGAAAGATCTCATTGTCAAGGATCATGGAATTCGTCTTCTGGAAGCACAGATTGCTACAGGTGGTATTATCGATCCAGTGCACAGCCATCGCGTCCCTGTGGAAGTGGCCTACCAAAGAGGATATTTTGATGAAGAAATGAACCAGATCCTTTCTGACCCAAGTGATGACACCAAGGGATTCTTCGACCCCAATACACAAGAAAATCTCACATACTTGCAGCTCATTGAGAGATGTGTGAAAGATCCAGAGACAGGTCTGAGCTTGCTTGTCATTGTGAAGAAGGGAGAGTTTTACTTCTTCATTGATGAGCTTACAAAGAAAATCCTCAAATCCACAACTACAAACAAGGCAGGAGGTAAATTCCAAGGACAGGTGGTATCTCTCTGGGATCTTTTACACTCTCAATACATCACAGAGGAGAAGAGAAGAGATCTGGTCCAGCAGTTTAAATCTGGCACAATCAAAATTGAATACTTCTTGGAACAAATTCTGACAATTATTCAGCAGAAGACATCTAGCACAACTATTACCACCACCACCACCATCACCACCACTGAAACAAAACAAGCCTCAACCTTCCAAGGCATCAAAAAGGAAGTGACTGCTGAAGAGTTGCTGAAATCTAAAATCATTGATAAGAAACTTTATGAAGACCTAAGTGCTGGAAAGGTCACAGCTGACCACATAAGCAAAATGGACTCTGTGCGAAAGTATCTGCAGGGAACAGACTGCATTGCTGGTGTATTTGTACAGTCAACCAAAGAGACTATGAGCATCTATAATGCCAAGTCTAAAGGACTTCTGACTCCTGGAACCTCACTGGTTTTATTGGAAGCTCAGGCGGCTACTGGATTTGTGATCGATCCAGTGAAGAACAAAAAACTTTCAGTAGAGGAGGCAGTGGCTCAGGGAGTTGTGGGGACTGAATGGAAGAGCAAGCTTCTGTCTGCAGAGAGAGCAGTCACTGGCTACACTGACCCTCACAATGGAAACACCATTTCACTCTTCCAGGCCTTGAAGAAAGATCTCATTGTCAAGGATCATGGAATTCGTCTTCTGGAAGCACAGATTGCTACAGGTGGCATCATCGATCCAGTGTACAGCCATCGCGTCCCTGTGGAAGTGGCCTACCAGAGAGGATATTTCGATGAAGAAATGAACCAGATCCTTTCTGACCCAGGAGACGACACCAAGGGCTTCTTCGACCCCAATACACAAGAAAATCTCACATACTTGCAGCTCGTTGAGAGATGTGTGAAAGATCCAGGGACAGGTCTGAGCCTGCTTGTCATTGTGAAGAAGGGAGAGTTTTACTTCTTCATTGATGAGCTTACAAAGAAAATCCTCAAATCCACAACTACAAACAAGGCAGGAGGTAAATTCCAAGGACAGGTGGTATCTCTCTGGGATCTCTTACACTCTCAATACATCACAGAGGAGAAGAGAAGAGATCTGGTCCAGCAGTTTAAATCTGGCACAATCACAATTCAATACTTCTTGGAGCAAGTTCTGACAATTATTCAGCAGAAGACATCTAGCACAACTATTACCACCACCACCGCCATCACCACCACTGAAACAAAACAAGCCTCAACCTTCCAAGGCATCAAAAAGGAAGTGACTGCTGAAGAGTTGCTGAAATCTAAAATCATTGATAAGAAACTTTATGAAGACCTAAGTGCTGGAAAGGTCACAGCTGACCATGTAAGCAAAATGGACTCTGTGCGAAAGTATCTGCAGGGAACAGACTGCATTGCCGGTGTGTTTGTGCAGTCAACCAAAGAGACTATGAGCATCTATAATGCCAAGTCTAAAGGACTTCTGACTCCTGGAACCTCACTGGTTTTATTGGAAGCTCAGGCAGCTACTGGATTTGTGATCGATCCAGTGAAGAACAAAAAACTTTCAGTAGAGGAGGCAGTGGCTCAGGGAGTTGTGGGGACTGAATGGAAGAGCAAGCTTCTGTCTGCAGAGAGAGCAGTCACTGGCTACACTGACCCTCACAATGGAAACACCATTTCACTCTTCCAGGCCTTGAAGAAAGATCTCATTGTCAAGGATCATGGAATTCGTCTTCTGGAAGCACAGATTGCTACAGGTGGCATCATCGATCCAGTGTACAGCCATCGCGTCCCTGTGGAAGTGGCCTACCAGAGAGGATATTTCGATGAAGAAATGAACCAGATCCTTTCTGACCCAAGTGATGACACCAAAGGATTCTTCGACCCCAATACACAAGAAAATCTCACATACTTGCAGCTCGTTGAGAGATGTGTGAAAGATCCAGGGACAGGTCTGAGCCTGCTTGTCATTGTGAAGAAGGGAGAGTTTTACTTCTTCATTGATGAGCTTACAAAGAAAATCCTCAAATCCACAACTACAAACAAGGCAGGAGGTAAATTCCAAGGACAGGTGGTATCTCTCTGGGATCTTTTACACTCTCAATACATCACAGAGGAGAAGAGAAGAGATCTGGTCCAGCAGTTTAAATCTGGCACAATCACAATTCAATACTTCTTGGAGCAAGTTCTGACAATTATTCAGCAGAAGACATCTAGCACAACTATTACCACCACCACCGCCATCACCACCACTGAAACAAAACAAGCCTCAACCTTCCAAGGCATCAAAAAGGAAGTGACTGCTGAAGAGTTGCTGAAATCTAAAATCATTGATAAGAAACTTTATGAAGACCTAAGTGCTGGAAAGGTCACAGCTGACCACATAAGCAAAATGGACTCTGTGCGAAAGTATCTGCAGGGAACAGACTGCATTGCTGGTGTATTTGTACAGTCAACCAAAGAGACTATGAGCATCTATAATGCCAAGTCTAAAGGACTTCTGACTCCTGGAACCTCACTGGTTTTATTGGAAGCTCAGGCGGCTACTGGATTTGTGATCGATCCAGTGAAGAACAAAAAACTTTCAGTAGAGGAGGCAGTGGCTCAGGGAGTTGTGGGGACTGAATGGAAGAGCAAGCTTCTGTCTGCAGAGAGAGCAGTCACTGGCTACACTGACCCTCACAATGGAAACACCATTTCACTCTTCCAGGCCTTGAAGAAAGATCTCATTGTCAAGGATCATGGAATTCGTCTTCTGGAAGCACAGATTGCTACAGGTGGCATCATCGATCCAGTGTACAGCCATCGCGTCCCTGTGGAAGTGGCCTACCAGAGAGGATATTTCGATGAAGAAATGAACCAGATCCTTTCTGACCCAGGAGACGACACCAAGGGCTTCTTCGACCCCAATACACAAGAAAATCTCACATACTTGCAGCTCGTTGAGAGATGTGTGAAAGATCCAGGGACAGGTCTGAGCCTGCTTGTCATTGTGAAGAAGGGAGAGTTTTACTTCTTCATTGATGAGCTTACAAAGAAAATCCTCAAATCCACAACTACAAACAAGGCAGGAGGTAAATTCCAAGGACAGGTGGTATCTCTCTGGGATCTCTTACACTCTCAATACATCACAGAGGAGAAGAGAAGAGATCTGGTCCAGCAGTTTAAATCTGGCACAATCACAATTCAATACTTCTTGGAGCAAGTTCTGACAATTATTCAGCAGAAGACATCTAGCACAACTATTACCACCACCACCGCCATCACCACCACTGAAACAAAACAAGCCTCAACCTTCCAAGGCATCAAAAAGGAAGTGACTGCTGAAGAGTTGCTGAAATCTAAAATCATTGATAAGAAACTTTATGAAGACCTAAGTGCTGGAAAGGTCACAGCTGACCACATAAGCAAAATGGACTCTGTGCGAAAGTATCTGCAGGGAACAGACTGCATTGCTGGTGTATTTGTGCAGTCAACCAAAGAGACTATGAGCATCTATAATGCCAAGTCTAAAGGACTTCTGACTCCTGGAACCTCACTGGTTTTATTGGAAGCTCAGGCGGCTACTGGATTTGTGATCGATCCAGTGAAGAACAAAAAACTTTCAGTAGAGGAGGCAGTGGCTCAGGGAGTTGTGGGGACTGAATGGAAGAGCAAACTTCTGTCTGCAGAGAGAGCAGTCACTGGCTACACTGACCCTCACAATGGAAACACCATTTCACTCTTCCAGGCCTTGAAGAAAGATCTCATTGTCAAGGATCATGGAATTCGTCTTCTGGAAGCACAGATTGCTACAGGTGGCATCATCGATCCAGTGTACAGCCATCGCGTCCCTGTGGAAGTGGCCTACCAGAGAGGATATTTCGATGAAGAAATGAACCAGATCCTTTCTGACCCAGGAGACGACACCAAGGGCTTCTTCGACCCCAATACACAAGAAAATCTCACATACTTGCAGCTCGTTGAGAGATGTGTGAAAGATCCAGAGACAGGTCTGAGCCTGCTTGTCATTGTGAAGAAGGGAGAGTTTTACTTCTTCATTGATGAGCTTACAAAGAAAATCCTCAAATCCACAACTACAAACAAGGCAGGAGGTAAATTCCAAGGACAGGTGGTATCTCTCTGGGATCTCTTACACTCTCAATACATCACAGAGGAGAAGAGAAGAGATCTGGTCCAGCAGTTTAAATCTGGCACAATCACAATTCAATACTTCTTGGAGCAAGTTCTGACAATTATTCAGCAGAAGACATCTAGCACAACTATTACCACCACCACCACCATCACCACCACTGAAACAAAACAAGCCTCAACCTTCCAAGGCATCAAAAAGGAAGTGACTGCTGAAGAGTTGCTGAAATCTAAAATCATTGATAAGAAACTTTATGAAGACCTAAGTGCTGGAAAGGTCACAGCTGACCACATAAGCAAAATGGACTCTGTGCGAAAGTATCTGCAGGGAACAGACTGCATTGCTGGTGTATTTGTACAGTCAACCAAAGAGACTATGAGCATCTATAATGCCAAGTCTAAAGGACTTCTGACTCCTGGAACCTCACTGGTTTTATTGGAAGCTCAGGCGGCTACTGGATTTGTGATCGATCCAGTGAAGAACAAAAAACTTTCAGTAGAGGAGGCAGTGGCTCAGGGAGTTGTGGGGACTGAATGGAAGAGCAAGCTTCTGTCTGCAGAGAGAGCAGTCACTGGCTACACTGACCCTCACAATGGAAACACCATTTCACTCTTCCAGGCCTTGAAGAAAGATCTCATTGTCAAGGATCATGGAATTCGTCTTCTGGAAGCACAGATTGCTACAGGTGGCATCATCGATCCAGTGTACAGCCATCGCGTCCCTGTGGAAGTGGCCTACCAGAGAGGATATTTCGATGAAGAAATGAACCAGATCCTTTCTGACCCAGGAGACGACACCAAGGGCTTCTTCGACCCCAATACACAAGAAAATCTCACATACTTGCAGCTCGTTGAGAGATGTGTGAAAGATCCAGGGACAGGTCTGAGCCTGCTTGTCATTGTGAAGAAGGGAGAGTTTTACTTCTTCATTGATGAGCTTACAAAGAAAATCCTCAAATCCACAACTACAAACAAGGCAGGAGGTAAATTCCAAGGACAGGTGGTATCTCTCTGGGATCTCTTACACTCTCAATACATCACAGAGGAGAAGAGAAGAGATCTGGTCCAGCAGTTTAAATCTGGCACAATCACAATTCAATACTTCTTGGAGCAAGTTCTGACAATTATTCAGCAGAAGACATCTAGCACAACTATTACCACCACCATCACCACTGAAACAAAACAAGCCCCCACCTTCCAAGGCATCAAGAAGGAAGTGACTGCTGAAGAGTTGCTGAAATCTAAAATCATTGATAAGAAACTTTATGAAGACCTAAGTGCTGGAAAGGTCACAGCTGACCATGTAAGCAAAATGGACTCTGTGCGAAAGTATCTGCAGGGAACAGACTGCATTGCCGGTGTGTTTGTGCAGTCAACCAAACAGACTATGAGTATCTACAATGCCAAGTCTAAAGCACTTCTGACTCCTGGAACCTCACTGGTTTTATTGGAAGCTCAGGCGGCTACTGGATTTGTGATCGATCCAGTGAAGAACAAAAAACTTTCAGTAGAGGAGGCAGTGGCTCAGGGAGTTGTGGGGACTGAATGGAAGAGCAAACTTCTGTCTGCAGAGAGAGCAGTCACTGGCTACACTGACCCTCACACTGGGAACACCATCTCACTGTTCCAGGCCTTGAAGAAAGATCTCATTGTCAAGGATCATGGAATTCGTCTTCTGGAAGCACAGATTGCTACAGGTGGCATCATCGATCCAGTGTACAGCCATCGCGTCCCTGTGGAAGTGGCCTACCAGAGAGGATATTTCGATGAAGAAATGAACCAGATCCTTTCTGACCCAGGAGACGACACCAAGGGCTTCTTCGACCCCAACACAAAAGAAAATCTAACATACTTGCAACTGGTTGAGAGATGTGTGAAAGATCCGAACACTGGACTAAATTTACTTCTTTTAAAGAAGTAGATTCAGAGATGAACTTGAAACACCCTACATAACACTGACATAACCATGCAATAAACATTTCATGGTAGATATTGTCACGAGCTGTCATGTACCTGCTTTGTTACAGATTTTATCTTATCCTTTGGTAAGGGCAACATCAACTTTTTTTAATAGATGTTTTAGTTCTACATAAACTTTAGGTAGATCATTTTGCTTTTATTTACTACATGTTTATGTTTTTGTAACACCATATGCATTTTGGGACGTTCATGTTTTAGGATATTAGGTTTTACCAGTTCTCCTTAAAATCCATTGTTCTGAAGATGATTACATTTTCCCTTGTAACAAATCTTTAAAATCTTGACTAATTGCCATATCTCCTTTTATTGTGATGTGTTAATACAGAGAACCCATGAAATATTGCAGAAAAATGTTTGAAAATGTCTGTGAAATGACTGTTGGTGCACTGATTTTGGGTACATTTTTATATATCTATGTGACTAAGAACTGATGAAAACAACACAAAAAGAAATACTTGACTGGAAGAAAAGAGAATGCACTAAAAACATAAGAAAATATGCATCTTTATTCTCAACAATTCTTTTTCATGTTTTTCTTTATCAGCTGCACCTTACTGGAATATTTACTTTTTGAGTTAATAAAAAACTTTTTCCTTTGTCTTTTGCATATGAATAAAAAATCCCTAAACCACAGCTATTGAAGTGTTAACATTATAACAAGCAAACTTTGAAATTTTACAACGTCTTTGTTACCTCATACCTCTGGAAGAGCTTTGATGTTGTTGCAACAATTCCAGGTTGGGTTCATCCATAATATAATACTACTACAATGTCGCTCTTCTTGCACATCAGTCAATCCTATGAACCAATCGAACTATGATAGTCACCAAAAGTAGAGAAGTCTTTGGTGTAATTTGTGAACTGCTAACTGCATCACCACCATACAAACATTTCAATACACCACTGAATGCAGTTGTAAAATTAACCTTTCAAAAACCATGTACAAAACAAGATACTACAATTTATCCAGGAGCTGTTGAATGTCCTCTTGGCCACGATAAACCCGTTTGAGTCCTCTTGGAAGGTAACGGCAAGATGACAGATTCAAGTAGCTTAGAGCTGTAGCCTGGGCCACTAGTAACCTGTGAAATTGAAATTAATGTTAACCATTAACATTAAGCAGTACATTTTAAAAAGATACATGACCAATAGCACACATACAGCCACTGGCCATTTTATCAGAAACCCCCAGCTGGGACCTCTACTGTAGACCATTAACTGACAGTTTGCGTTAGCCATCCTTTAGAACAGTGATGTCAAACTCAACCACTAAAGGGGCCATATTAAAAAATCTCAACAAATCCTTGGGCCAGCTGTGTTTTTATTTCATTTTTACTCATAATTTGCTATCACCCCACTGTCATTGTTCAAAATTTGCCAAAACTACAATGGCAAAAAATTGGCACTGAATACTAGAAAAAATGAATAAAAACAAATTGTCTTACATAAAACAATAGACTACATTAGCTGCAGATAACTGCTGAACCTCTTTAAATGCCCCAAATGTACAGCAGGTTTTTTGAAACTGCACATTCGCTTGAACTGGACACCTGGCAACACAGATTTTTGTTGGGGATGCACTGTAGTGCAGCTCACGGTGAAGAGGGCTAATAATAATAATAGAAAATTAAAATAATTTTGAGGGCTGAATAGAATTGTGCCACGTGCCTGACTTGGCCTGCAGGCCTTGTGTTTGACACATGAGCTTTAGAACTTCATCAATAGTCAGTTTAGTCAGAGCTGCTTTTGCCTAAATATGACCCAAATATTACCTGTCTGGGGTAGAGGGGGGCTGATCTATTGCGCAACAACAGATATGCACCTATATGGTAGGTGTTTCTGATAAAATGGCCAATGAGTAACGGTACAAAGTAGGTGTACTCAATAAATTGGCAATGCTGCATGTGCAATGCAATTCAGGGTCAGATGTCCTAAGAAAGGCATTGATTACTACCAGTTTAACGACACATTGCACTGTTGGTGTGGCCAATGTAGCAGGTTATCTGAGAACGTCTATGCAAATGAACACAGATGCAGCTTCATCATTAACATTTGACGTAACCTCTTAACTTTTTCCTCCAGTCAGTAATAAATTAAAATCTGCTTACACATTGCACTTCTCACAGGTATTTCACTGAGTGTAAAATGTTTTTTTTCCATCAAAAACAAATAAATGTGTCTGAAAAACTCTTTTTTTTCCCCTCTGAGCACAAACGATGGCAGGCATGTTAGCACCAAAAAGAAGACAATCTTTTTACAGGAGTTAAACAGCGCAGTCAGTATTTGGGTCATTCTACAGAAACATCCACTTTTCTATCTATCCATAGGTGTCACTGGTGTTACGGATCCTCACCGATTTTACACATAAGAAAAATAACACCAAAAACATTTTCAATTAAAAATTCATTTTAGAATTAGAATTCTAGATAATTGACTTAAAAACCAATATTGCTAAATTGATGGCTGAAGAAGACTTAATTGTTAAAATAACTTTATTGTTATTGTTTTATTTGAAAATGTAAAATGTAACCTTAACATGTTTTTCAAATGTAATATATCTGTAAACACAAGGGACACAAAAATGGATGTTTCTGTAGAGTGACCCGTTTACTGTCTGTCTTGGTAAATGGGAGTAGATGCCTCATTATATTAATCTTCTCCCAGTGTTTTGAGCTTTGAGAGGGAAGCTCAACATACAATACAATACAATTAGGCAAAAGCACAAAACAGCAGCGACCACTCCTTATAATGAACGCTACAAGACCTTTGCACCTCTGTAGTAATCAAGACAGCCACTTTTTAATACTGCAAATTGTTAGTGAATCTGCACTTTATTCTCAAAATATAAATACTATAATATTCAAATTGTTAAAAAGACAACGTGTATTTCGGTTATTGCTACCTCAAAAGGCAGGACAGTTCCTGTTAGTACCTGAGTGCAGATGAGGTGATCTTTGTCCCACTGACGTTCAAGGAGCGAAAGGCATCTGCTCCAGGGCCGTGGGCCAGATGGCCCATTGCAATCTCCATGTCCTCCTCTGTGAAAGGCTGGTTGGTCAGATCCAGCTCACGCAGGGTGCTACTCCATTTCTGAGCGAGCATGTGGATGCCCTTGTTGGACGCCACCATAACGTTGCTATTGAAATAGAGCCCCCAGTAGAAACACTCCAGATCTGAAACCATTGAGAGAATAGGTAAACGTGTTGAATGAATACGTTTTCATGAATATATTATATTTCATTTTTAAAAATAGACGAAATCCCTTGACGAGCAGGTTGTCATTTTTGATGCAGCATCAAACGGTTGCTCTCTCTAGTGTACTGAGCAAGGAACAGTGAGCTAAATTTCAAATTTAAAGCTGCAGTATGTAGGATTTGGGGATTGGGAGAACTCTCTGGTGGAAATGTGTAATTGCACACAGCGTGTGGAAGAACATTTTGTGGCACGGGTTGTGCTTTGGACCTGTTCCTCAAGCAGAAGAATCTAATGATTACGAATGCATTGGAAAAGTATTCAAACAAAACTCAGTCAAAACTTGGAGAAGGACGTGTCTTCTGAGGATGCGAGTGAATTATCTACTATTGTCATCATATCTTCATCAGTGTAATGTTGATTTTGAGACCTAAACATTGAGCCAGACCTTCTTTTTGAGCCTGTGCTCATGAGGTTAATATGTAAAGATGTGTGAAAAACTCCCGACTCGAAGCCTCTGACTTTTAAATAATTATTTGAGGCTTTACAGGGCGACTCGCAGCAGCGCACTAACTATATTTTAGCCTGTTTTTATTCTCCTCACTCAGAATGATACTTCTTTCAGATTTAACAAACACGTGTTACACTGTAACACTGCACAGTGTGCAATTTTGACAGAAATATATCATTTAATCTTGCCAACTTTAGCTAAAGCATGACATCAAATGACAGGGTTCCCTTTAACGTCTAAGTAATTAGTATTAAATAATTAATAAATGATTAAATAGCTGGGAAGAGCAGACTCCATTGTCATGAACTAATGCCTTACAGCATGTACATAACACTAATCTACTAAAATTATATTCTGTTTGATGAAAACAGCTTTGCACCTCTATGTATGTAACAACACTTTACCTTCACAGGGCAGATTGGAGAGTCCCATGGCAGTTACGCGTGAGCAGCCGCGCAGGTCCAGCACCCGCAGCTGGGGGGAGCCATGGAGAACATTTAGCAGGTCATGATCTGTTAGTAAGGAATGTGCTGAAGAGGCTATACACAATTCCTCCAGCAGGGGGAAGCCAGGAGTGGCGCTGGGCATGTTGCGAATCATTTTTGGTATAGGGCTGACGTTCATCAGCCTGAAAACCTAAAACCAGAAAAAAATGAGGAAAACGGTGAGAATAAAGTTAGCAAAGACACAGCTGAGCAACAAGAGGGGGCGCTGTTTCCACAGACCATGACTGGTTCTAAGTTTATATATTCAAATGTATTAATAGCTAATAATTAGCATGACTAAAATGACATTAAATGTACATCATCATACAACTGTTTAAAACATTATTTGGCAAGGCAATGAAATTTCAGCAAAAGATTTGTACACACACACACACACACACACACACACACACACACACACACACACACCCCCATTTCAAAAAAAGTTGGACGCTATGCAAAATGTAAATAAAAACAGTGCAATGATCTGCAAATCATTTAAACTCTATATTCAAAAGAAAAAGTACAAACACAGCATATCAAATGTTAAATTTCATCGTCGTTTTTTATGCCCATTTTGAATTTGATATCAGCAACACGTTTCAAAAAAAGTTGGAACAGGGGCAACAAAAGACAGGCAAAGACGACAACAATCTTTGGCTCCCTCAGGTGGCACTGCATTAAAAACAGACATGATTCTGTAGTGGTAAAATCACTGCATCAGCTCAGAAACACTTCTGAAAATTACTGTTTGTGAACACAGTTTGTTGCTGCATCCATGAGTGCAAGTTAGAACTCTACCATGCAAAGAAGAAACCATATATAAACAGGATCCAGAAACACCACCACCTTCTCTGGGCCTAAGATCATTTAAGATGGACTGAGACAAAGTGGAAAAGTGTGTGTTGCGCTGGTCTGAGTGGATCACACACAACAGTGCTGCTGGAGTTTTTAAACACCTCAGTGTCACTGCTGGACTGAGAATAGTCCACTAACCAAAAATATCCAGCCAACGGCGTCCTGTGGGCAGCGTCCTGTGACCACTGATGAAGGACTAGAGGATGGCCAACACAAACTGTGCAGAGAAACAGATGGACTACAGTCTGTAACTGTAGAACTACAAAGTGCACCTATATAGTAAGTGGAGCTGATAAAATGGACAATGAGCACAGAAACAAGGAGGTGGTCATGATGTTATGCCTGATTGGTGTGTTTATTTCGGAAAATGCACTGAAAGATCAGTGTGTGGAGCAGGTAATGAAGGTGTGCAAAAAGATGCAATGACATGGAGCTGATCAAAACAAAACCAGCATCCTTGAGCACTTTAAGGAGATGTTCTCAGACCCCAACACAGAAGAGCTACTGGACACAGCCAGTTTTGTTGATCCCAGATTTAAAACGGCATACGTCTCTGCGCACCACGTCCCCACCATTCATGAGAAAGTGAAAACAGAGATGGAGTCTTCACTTCATCAGAAGCAAAGAAGCCAAGGAGGTCATTAAAAGGTTTTTTTCAAAGTAAGTGAGGCAACCCCTTCAACTGCACCCCCTGTGTCACTTCAGCAAAGACTAGAAGTCTCCCGTGCTGGATAGCGAGGAAAATCCACTGCGATGGTAGAAAAAGCATCATGTACACTTTCCCACTCTAAGTAAGGTGGCAAAAAACAGTATCTTTGGATACCAGCCACCAGCTCCCCATCCGAGCGGGTTTTCATGTCAGGAGGAAACATTGTTACATGCCTCAGATCCTGCTTGAAACATGACAAGGTAAACATGCTGGAGTAAATACTAGAACATACAGTAGAGTGACAGGACAGATCGCACGCAACTTGTTCTTAATCAGCATCGTTCTATTGCCAAATTTTGCACATGGCATGATTTAAAATAACATTTGTTTACAAGAGATGCTTATTTTCTACTTTTCACATGGCAATATTTCAAAAATTCATTTTGTTTGCAAGAAATGCTAATTATTTACAACCCCATTTCCAAAAAAGTTGGGATGCTGTGAAAAATGTAAATAAAAACAAAATGCAATGATGTGCAAATCATTTAAACCCCATATTTAATTGAAAACAGTACAAAGACAACATATCAGATGTTGAAACTGAGAAATTTTATAATTTTGAAAAATATATGCCCATTTTGAATTTGATGCCAACAACATGTTCCAAAAAAGTTGGGAGACGGGCAACAAAAGGCTGGCAAAACAAACAAAAAAACCTGGTGGTTAATTGGCAAGAGGTCAGTAAATGATTGGGTATAAAAGAGCATCTCAGAGAGGCGGAGTCTTTCAGAAGTAAAGATGAGGAGGAGTTCACCACTCTGTGAAAGACTGCACAATCAAATAGTGCAACAATTCAAGAATAAAGTTTCTCAACATAAAATAGCAAAGGACCTTTTTTATCATCTACGGTTCATAATATCATTAAAAGATTCAGAGAAACTGGAGAAATCTCTGTACACAAGGGACAAGGCCAAAAACCAGTATTTGCTGGCCGTGATCTTTGGGCCCTCAGGCAGCACAGCATTAAAAACAGACACGATTCTCTAGTGGAAATCACTCCATTTGAAAACCACTGTCTGTGAAAACAGTTCAGCGCTGCATCCACAACTGCAAGACAAAACTCTAAAATGCAAAGGAGAAATCATATATAAACAGGATCCAGAAATGCTGCCACCTTCTCTGGGCCCGAGCTCATTTAAAATGGACTGAGGGGAAGTGGAAAAGTGTCCTGTGGTCTGACGAATCAACATTTGAAATTCTTTTTGGAAATCATGGACACTGGGTCCTCTGGGCTAAAGACCACTCAGCTTGTTATCAGTGCACAGTTCAAAAGCCAGTATTCATGATGGTATAGGGGTGCATTAGTGCGCATGGCATGGGTGACGTGCACATCCCCCCCGTCCCAACTTTTTTGGAACGAGTTGCGGGCATCAAATTCAAAATGGGCATATATTTAAAAAAAAAAAAGAGAAATTTTATTGTTTTTTTTTTATTTCAACATTTGATTTGTTGTCTTTGTATTATTTTCAATAAAATATAGGGTTTAAATGATTTGCACATCATTGTATTCTATTTTTATTTACATTCTGCACAGCGTCCCAACTATTTTGGAAATGGGGTTGTATTTTCTACTTTTTTAAGGAACTTGCTTTTCTACATTAAAATTAAAATGTGACCATTTTCATTAGTTGTTTTTATTTCAAGCGATGAGTGGTTTTAATGTAGTGGTGATTCCCAACATTATAAAATCCATGGTACATGGATACACAATGAGTAGTGCAACTACACATGAAAATAATTTTCAAAGTACTACTGAACTTCATAAAAACACTTTATAACTTTATAAACTTATAAAAAACTTAAAGAAAGATATTCATTTGTGATGATTTTTGGGAGCATGGGATTAAAATAAAAACTAAGCACTAAAAGTAGCGCAGCAAACTAAAAACAACTGTTTGAATTTAGACGACAAATAACAGATGCTAAAACATCTGCATTGAACAGTTTAAAGAAGAGACAGCAAAATGATGGTCAGTGTACACATAAGAAGTGGTCTTCATATTCTTTTTTTTTCCCTTTTGATTTAGTCATCAAATTTGTGACTCAAGTCCAAGTCAAATGACTCAATTCCACACCTTGAAACTGCAAATCAGTGAGTGCAACTAGTGTTATCTAGTACTGTACCTGGAGCTTAGGGCAGCCAACCTGTAGAGCCTGTATGCAGATAGCAAGAGGGCAATATCCACTGTCTAACTTAGTGTTGATCTCCAACAGTCTGAGTTCAGGACAGCACCCCCTCTGCAAACAAACACCAAGATTTTACTTATGGTTTATACAGTCATAGGGTAAAGTTTGGGCACCCTGGTCAAATTACATTTCCAAAATCAACAAAACATGTAATTTGACCAGGGTCCTTTGCATACACCTGCAGATTAGCAGTGTGGTACTGAATTGTAGATTCATACACTCTCAGAAATAAAAGGTAGTAAACTATCACTGGGGCAGTGCCCCTCTTGTCACTGGGGTGGAACCCTTTAGTCAGGGAACATAACTGAACCATAATCCACTGAAATGATATGTTCTAAGCTGTACTGACTCCACACACCCCGTCTCGTCTCCAGGACTTTATTTTACTGTTCTGTTTTAAAACATTCGGTTATGAAAAGGTACAAATACGAACTTTTCACCTGGAAAAATTGATTTAAGGTTCACAATCAGACCTTAAAATAACTGTTGTACCTTTGAGGGAACATTTACACCGATCAGGCATAACATTATGACCACTCTTGTTTTTACGCTCATTGTCCATTTTATCAGCTCCACTTACTATATAGGTGCACTTTGTAGTTCTACAGTTACAGACTGTAGTCCATCTGTTTCTCTGCATACTTTGTTAGCCCCCTTTTACCCTGTTCTTCAGTGGTCAGGACCCCCATGGACCCTCACAGAGCAGGTACTATTTGGGTGGCTGTGACCACTGATGATTGACTAGAGGATGACCAACACAGACTGTGCAGCAGCAGATGACCCATCGTCTCTGATTTGTCAGTCCACCTTGTAGATGTAAAGGTAGGAGTGTCTAATAGAGTGGACAGTGAGTGGACACAGTGTTTAAAAACTCTAGCAGCACTGCTGTGTCTGATCCACTCGTACCAGTGCAACACACACCAACACCACGTCAGTGTTACTGCAGTGCTGAGAATGATCCACTGCCCCGGTGGGTCCTGACCACTGAAGAACAGTGTAAAAGGGGGCTAACAAAGTATGCAGAGAAACAGATGGACTACAGTCTGTAACTGTAGAACTACAAAGTGCACCTATATAGTAAGTGGAGCTGATAAAATGGACAATGAGCGTAGAAACAAGGAGGTGGTCATAATGTTATGCCTGATCGGTGTACATCGTTTGTACCTTAATGGACAAAAAATGCACCTGCAGAGAATCTTTATTTCTAACAGTGTACAGACTAACAGTCGTGAGCAAGAGAAAAAAGGAAAGCTGTCTTACACTTAAAACATTGAGTAGTTTTTCGCTTTTCGGGTTGCGTGTAAGAAAGAGCCTTTTCAGTTTATTTCCGTTTGTCTCAAGGAAGGAGATCAGGCCATCGTCCCGAAACTAGATTGTAAAAGAAAGAAAACAACTAAGAGTTTACATAATGCAAAATAATGCATGGAATTTGGGCTTTCAGAGTGAACAACAAGCGAGGTTACATTACAGTACTAACGTGAGATAAAAGTAAGCTCTCAGGTCAGCTTGCATTTTATGGCATAATCATGCATAATCCTGGGCCTGACTAAGCAGTTTCAACATAAAGCCGTTTCATACAAACCTCTGTGTGTTGCACATTTATGCTCTCCAGAGATGGACAGGCAGTGCCAAGGTTTTGAAAGGCCTCTTTTGTCACACCCATGCAGTATGACAGCTTGAGAGACTGGAGATTTGAGCAGGATTCTGCCACGACCTAAAATTCATAGTTAAACAGGTTAATAATTAAATGAGACCTGTCATGCTGTCGAACAGCTTTGATCAATTTTTTAGCCCTCTAAACAAACATTCAGAACAAAAGCCATGACTTTTGTGGCATATTTGTAAAGATATTAAGGTAAATTTCAGAACCCATAAAGCTTGATTCCTACATCTCCCACAATTTGGTCTGTGACAGCTGGTGGAGACATGGTTATATCAGCAGGGGTCACATACAGCAGGTTATTGAGCTTTGCAATTTCATAAAGATCTACAATTTTTCTGAAATATACAAACATTTTTACTCTAAATCAGTCAATACGTCGACCTGTGCTGTTGAATGGCGCTCATGACAGAAGTCTTAAGTCACACACTGTTAAAAAGACTGTGAAAAAGCAAAGAGTTAAAAAGTTAATCTGAGCTGCATTTGTACTGCGAAACGTTTGCGTGTGTTTAAAACACTCCGAGTCACAGGATTTAAAGTTTTCTACATTTGAACAGCATCAAATCCAGACTTGAACTCCTTCCCTGGACACTCAGCAGAGACAGGAAACCGGAAACAGGAAAAGTGTTAGCAGTCTGCATGACCTGCCGCTGCTTCTCGCTTGACAACACTGCAACGTTTGTCTCAGCTCAGCTGAGTTATCTGAAATATTCTGGGGTAAATTTGTTTTTCACTCTTAAGCTGAGCTGAGAGACCCCAGTGCTCATTTCTTCTCACACTGCAGTTACCGTCATGTCTCTTCTATTGCTTCCAACATGAACATCAACATGATATTGGTTTCTGGTCTGTCATATTAAACTCCAACCACTACTGTGGCTAGTTCTGTAAGACTACCTGTTCTGTTGAAGGAGTATGAAGAAGGTGCTTTAATGGACGGCTCTAGATTGACCGTGAGTGAGCTTGAAGGGGTTGTTATTTTGCATTTTGCTGCCTAAGTATGCCCAATCTGGGGGCGGCACAGTGTTGCTGGCAAAGCAGCGCCGCCTGGGGCTTTGGGGGACCTCGCCCAAGGTCACAGCCAGGTATACCTGGTCAGTCATGGGATTTGAACCCACAACCTGATGGCTCATTGACGGCACACCTTTCCTACCACAAGGCAACCGGCCACCCCATATTTTATCTATTTACTAAGTAAAAATAATAATCCTCTACACAGAACAAACTTAAATATGACATTTTTCTGCACGTTTTAGTGCACAATTTATATTTATTTGCTGAGTTTAACATGTTGGATAAATAATTAAATATAAAATGTAAAATATGCCGTAACTTTTGCATAGACCACATTTTGTGTTTTATTTTTTCACAATATGTTAAATTCAGCAAATGAACAATAATTATGCATTAAAATGTGCATTTGTGTGTTCTCTGTAGAGGATTCACCTATTTTCATTTAGAATACCAACGACATATCATTTGACCAGGAGCGCAGACACTTTTGCATGCAAATCAATATTTAAGAGAGGGCATATTTATAGTTGTTCGTGTTAGACTAGACATACAGTTTATTTAAATAATATTTCAAAGAAATTACTGAGAAAGCATTATGATAGTAACACATTTGTGGGGTAAAATTAACCCAGCATTCTAGTCAGCATGAGCCAGAATATGGACCGAATGGTTCCAGTGACCCGGCTGTCTGTTTTTAAAAATAAACCAAAACTCAGACCTTTTCATAGTGTAGTGAGATAAATTCAGCTACAAATTATTCCTTAAATATTTCCTCTCTTTAACAGAAGCAAATTAACGTTAAGAAGAAAAAAATGTGCACGTATCATCCAGTAGAGTAACTCTGAATACCTGGACAACATAGTCGACATGCTTCTTCCAGTGAGAAAGCGTGAATTCCCTCAGCTGGGAGAACCTTGGAGAGAGGAAACAGTGTAGGACAAACAAATGAATTAAAATAAAAAAGCCTCTATCTGACATAGACTAGATCTCAGCGAGAGCTTGTAAGCTTCATAATTTGACACAACCCCTTGGTTGGAGATTAATACTGTACTGGTAAGACCACTGACCTGTTTTGCGCTAGCCAGTTTATAGTGTTCCTAATCTTCTGTTCGGTTCCAGGTAACTGACTCTTACCAGGTTCAATCCAGCAGTAGCCAATGGACACACTGCGCCAGAGGGTTGGTGAAGATGCAGCACTGTTCCACAGACGGCAAACTCTGCCAACCCTTTCAGAACACAACAGTTAGAGTTACCAAACAACATTTTAAGCCAAATTCAGTGCTTTTTTAACAATTCCACTTACAGATGTAAAAGATAATCGAAGTGGTTTGGTGTGAACTGCTCCATTCTACTGAAACTTACTGAGTCCTATCACAGTGTTGGTGATGGGAACCAGACGTCTGAAGAGTTTAATGTCTCTAAAAGCTCCCTCACAGAAAATGATTACTTGAAATGGTTGTGAATATGTTGCCTAATCCTTGATGTAGGGCTGAAACAGTTTTCAGACCAGTCCTGTGACTGCAATCTGAATTGCGATTATTTTCTGGCTTCAGGCTTGAACGCTGAACTCAGGGTGCCACACAGCATGCTGTGATTGTATCCTCATATATTCATCATGCTGGAGTTTAGTTGCTGCTGATTGGTCTATCCAATCAACAGGCAGCCCATGAGCTCAGTGTTATGTTAAAAAAAATCCCTTCTCAAAACTTGTAGGATACAATTACAATTTCATCTTTCAGCCCTAGTTTGATACATTAATTTAATGATAGTTTTGAGAAGGTTTGGGCCTAAAACTAAAGTACATGCAGGGTGTTGTGAGGCAAAATAGTCAGCATAGAAAACGTATTTTTTCAGATTTACCACTATTTTACCATCATCAACATTCCATGTAAAACTCAGAAGACCCATATAGGTTAACTGTTGGTTGTGTATAGTAAATAAAATGTCTATATTTATGTTGTCATGGCGACCCCTGGTTCCTATCACCACCACTGTAAAGAATTCTGAGTCTCTACAATCAACCATTTCACATCAAACCACTCTGAATGACTTTGTTTACATCTCAACTACTGAATTTTTTAAAGACTGGTGGAATTCCTCTTTAATCAGTGCACTGAGGAGTTGAGCCAGTTGATGGCTGCAATAATAAAGCTGTGACCTCCATGATTTGAGCTTGAGAAGCTCTAAAAGAAAAGCCAGTACCTGCACAGAAACGGTATGGCACCATCTTGAAGAACTGCCAGCTCAAAGATTTTCACAAGCACCTCCAGAGGCAGACTGTGGCCCCAGTCAGAGCTCCCTGTGTCCTCCACATTAACGTCACTGACCGACGCTTCCTCTGTGACTTTAGACAATCTGGGCTTCGTAGGATTTTTCCTCCTCTTTACTGGTGCGATCTTTGTCTTGGTTTTCTTCTTCTTGCTTCCCCTTCGTTTAGGCTTCCAAACGCTGTCAAACTGGTTGATGTTGGATATAATGAGCAGCATATCCTCTCCATGCTGCACGGTGTAATTGGGCCTTGGAGCTCGTCTGACACCGCTTCTCTTTTTCTTCTTGCTCTTTTCTTCGAGTGAGGTTGCTTTCCTTTTCAAGGGTTCTTTTCTTTTGGTACTTCTCTTTTGAGGTGTTCCTGTTCCATCTGACTGAGGATTCGCCTCCTCTTCGGTACCCGGAGTGATGTCCTGTGAAGATGGGCCACTAACTGGCATTTCAGCAGGAGCAGATGGCTCTTGATGAGGGCTATCCATGCCTGATGAAAACTCGATCTGTTCAAGGCAAGGCAAGTTTATTTATATAGCACCTTTCATACACTGCTGTCATTCAAATGAGAAAATACAGTCAGAAAATACCAAGTTTTTTAAAAAAAAGAAATAAAAAAAAAGGATAGAAATTAAAAACAAAAACAAAATCACTAAAAATTAGAAATCAAATTAGAAATTAAATTAGGATAGTTAAAAAAAAAAAATCAAATAAAAAAATAAACAGTTAGATTAGGATTAAAAATAAAACACATGTTAACAGTAAACAGGAAGATTTTGAGGCTGGATTTAAAGTGTCCAGTGTCGAGGCTCTTCTAATGCTCTCTGTCAACTGGTTCCATTTAAGAGCAGCACCGTAGCGAAACGCAGCTTCTCCATGTTTAGTCTTCACCTTCGGCAGGACTAACCGACCAGTTCCTAATGATCTGAGAGTTCTGCTCGGCTCATATCACTGCAGCATATGAAATAAATATGCTGGTCCTGCACCAGTGACAAATTTATTGACCAATAATAATATCTTACAAGATATATTAAGTAGAACATACAGTGCAGGCAGACCATCCTCCTGAAGGAAGCCTATTGCAAATTAACCATTTGACTAAACATTTATGGTCTCTAGAAACATGTACGCAATGCCTTAAAGCTCCAAGAGTCTACATTTTTCCCCTTTTATAACATTTATGAGGGTTTATGAACCCAGGGGCATAGCATTAAGCCAACGAGGCCATTTATATTTATGGCTGCATTTCAGTTTTTATGCAAGCTAATATCTTTTAACTCTCATGTAAAAAGACTGGAATGTGCGTCACGTGATTCAACACTTCTAACTGGACAAAACACACTGAGCATCTTCTGCTCTTCATTTTGTTACAGCAATGCAAACTGCTAACTTTTTGCTTGTGAATAGTAAAAATCAAAAACATTTTTTTTTTTTCAGGCTGTCACTTTTGTTTCACTGCAAGTTTATTTATATAGCACGTTTCCTACACAGCTGTCATTCAAAGTGTTTTACAAATGAGAAAAATACAGTTAATTAAAAAAAGTAAGAGTAAAATAGTTAAAAAGCAAAATCAAAAATTAAACAAAGTGAGATCAAAAATTTAATTGTGCTACTTAAAATCTTAATAAAAAATAAAAAATTAAATTAGGATAATAAGGTCCTGTTACAGAGGAGAAAGGTCTAGAAACACAGTGTTTTAAACTGAGCTGAAAGCTGCTGAATTAGAAATGTTTTGAGGCTGGATTTAAAGTGTCCAGTGTCGGGGCTCTTCTAATGCTCTCTGTCAACTGGCTCCATTTAAGAGCAGCATAGTAGCGAAACGCTGCTTCACCATGTTTGAGTTAGTCTTGACCTTCAGCAGGACTAACTCAATAAAGTGCAGAATAAAGTGCTGACAGAAGCTTAATCTGTGTTAAAGGCACAGTTGAAAAGATACATTTTCATAAATAAAATCTCTAAATTTTGCTGTTTCTTAGATGATAAAAAGCTGCCTTGGTGGTGGATTTGATGTGGCTACTGAAGTGGAGTTCTGAGTCAATTTGAACTCTGAGGTTTTTGACTTGTGTTTTAGCCTTTAAAGCCTTAGTGCAGGGGTGTCAAACTCAACCACTACAAAGGCCATATTAAAAAATCTCAACAAATCCGTGGGCCAGAAAACACCTATGTTTTTACTTTACTTTTAATTAACGTTGTGCTGTTCCCCAAACTGGCCATTGTTTATTTAAAATATGCAAAAACTTAAACAAAAAAATACAGGCACTGTATGAAATATAACATGAATACCTGAAATATTCAAAATTTAAATGCCCCCAGGAGCTCAGTCTTTTAAACCTACCTATCTGCTTGAACTAGACACCTGGCATCCTTTCTCTGTTGCTTGTTCATTAATACTTGGGCTCAGTTTCTGAGCTGCTGAGCTGATGTTGGGTGCTTATGTTGGTTGAACTGCAGCTGAAATGCATTTTGGTGATACGACTGGTGTGGAACTGTGTAGAACTGAGGTGTAACTGCCGCCCTATAGATTGTTGTTAGGGCAGGAGAGTTGCAGTGCACATAACGTTGCAGTGCATGCTGGGGACTGTAGTGCAGCGCAAAGTGAAACAATATTAATAGAAAATTAAAATACTTCTGCCGCCGGAGAGGATTGTGTCGTGGGCCTTATCTGGCCTGCTGGCCTTGTGTTTGACACATGGGGCTTAGAACTTAATAGGGCAATCAGTTTCAGACCAAATCCACTGACAATCTCTGAACTCGTAAGTGGAATCTTCCAAGAAGGACTCAAAGGTGGCCTTAAACAAGCCGTTTTTGTTACTGTACCTTTAAGACTGATGTGTTCCTGTAATGTGTCTCATTCGAAAAGCAGTCTGGACTGAAACGTTCCTATCACTTCTGTGCGAATGGCCGGAGCTAAACAGGGAAATACATATAAATGCATTGGTTTCAATTCAAAACACTGATTCAAAACATGCTGTTTTCAATTCGACTGAATAGTATGTTTTGAAATTTTAATAAATGTTTACATAGTACATACATTTTTTTTAAAAAAGCTCGATCTTCCATAAAAAATCATCACGTTAATATCATGTTTAATCAATCTTCCACATTAAATTAGAAAAAAAAGTCATTGAACATGATGGAAAAAAGTCTATCATTTAATTTGAGATGTTAAACACTGAATGGGGTCAATTTGACCTCAAAGATAACAGGAGGGTCAACCCAACTTAATGTTTAACATCTCTAAATAAATGACTAACAACATTTTTTGCAAAGAAACAAAAGTACCTGACACATAAACGTGTGTGATAATTTTAATATAATCATTTTTTGGATGTTTAAATTGCTGATCGGGGGTTAAACACTGGGTCCACTCACTGTCCACTCTATTAGACACTCCTACCTTGTCAGTCCACCTTGTAGATGTAAAGTCATAGACGATAGCTCATCTGCTGCTGCACAGTTTGTGTTGGTCATCCTCTAGTCCTTCATCAGTGGTCACAGGATGCTACCCACAAGAAGCTGTTGGCTATCAGTGGCTGGTACTGTTGTGGCAAATCACAAAACAGTTAGATGCTGTTATATCACCTTGACAAGATTACTGACTAGTACAGGTGTTTACTACGTGTGTTGATAAGTGAATGAAATGAACTGAACTCTGTTTTGTTAGATCTGTATTTGTGCACATCGACCAGCAAATATGCATTAATGATGTGTGTTGGTTCTTCATCCTAAGCAGCTCAACCAGTGATCTTGTCCTTGCTATGATACAGGCAAAGTGTTGCTGAGTGTGTTTACATGCACTCAATAATCCGATCATAATCGGATTTCTGCAGTTATCCGATTATTCAAATGGTCATGTAAACACCATACTCCAATCTAGAAATCTGATTTTAAAAAATCTGATAAAGAGAGATGGATTTTAGATCGGTAATCTGATTTCTCAGTGCATGTAAACTCTTACTCTGACTTCTTTTGGTTTACGTCACGTCTTCTTCTGTGAGTTTACTGGCTGGTTGCAAAGCAGAAATCTGATTTCTGCCTGACTCATGTAGACCCGGAGTTTCCCCATTATCTGATTACTCAAGTGCATGTAAATGCATTGATCGGATTTCTGTCAAAATCAGATTTTCTGCAGTTATCAGATTATTAAGTGCATATAAACACACTCACTGTTTTCAATACCTCAAAGTATTTCCTGCGTAACCAGGGAAAGTGTAGAGAGGAGATTTACCACTTTGTATTTTCGCGTTTCACAAACACTAGAGGGCGCTCCGGAGCGAGTCCAAAATGAATGGGTTAAGTTGGAGCGTTTGAGCAAAATCATAGTTAGTAAATACTTAAACATTTTTAATGTAAAAGAATGCAGTCATTTCCTGAACACACAACAGCACAAAACACTGCTGTTATATTTTTAAGAGCTTTTAAATCCGAGTTATAGGAGTTTAAAACGGCGCCTCATGTACGTTCATGACGTCAGTGAACGCGAACATCCAACCAATCAGCACTCATTAGCAGTAATGCTAGCGTCCTGCTGCCCAAAACCTGTTAGCTGTCGAAAAATGGAAGCATACAAGTAAATTCTCTTTGCTTTTTTAGTGAAATACATCCTTCTACTCTCTAAAACTGGAAGAAAGTTCTGGACAAGTGATTAGAAACTATTTGAACTTTTCGTTTTTAGCCGTTGAGCTCCATTCACCCCCATTCATTGAAGACTCGCTCGCGGGCGCCCTCTGGCGTTTCGCAGTCATGTTATTGATATAACGCGGGAAATAGGAAGAGGCCAGACTCCTCATAAACCGGCCCTGCTCAAAGCTTCACAAGGCTTCACTCTGCCATCCTTAACCGAGGCGCTTATCACTGCTTTTGCAAAAAAAAAAAAGGGACTGCATCACTAAATGTGAGCGACACAAACATTAACAGTCCTTTTAACTTGTGAAATGTATCATAATTCACCTGCTTTAGTCCTTAAATGTGGATATTCCTGGGCTTGCAGCTCTCCTTTTGTTGTTACAACTCGTTTCCCATGATGCTCTGCTCTACGAAGTCTGTGTCAGAGCCCGAATGGCCAATCCAAGGTTGAGTCTCAGGCCGCATCCCAAATGTCGCTTTACTCCCTATGTAGTGCACTATGTGAGGCGTGAATCGTTGACCTTTTCACCCAAAATAGTGCAGTTAGGAATAACGTGCACACTTTAACTGAACGATGAACGGATCTTCGTTGGAAATATTATGCTGCGTTTGAGTGCAGGAGGTATTATGGTTTTGGACCTACGTAGTGCACTACGTAGGGAGTAGGGAGCAGGGAGCAGTTTGAGACTCAACCCGAATTCCTGTTCAGATCCTCCTCGTTCCTCTCGAGTGTTTCTCTCGCTGCATGATTCGAGAGGAAAGGAAACACCGCCAACACAGTCACCTCCTTAAAACCACCCTGTGTAGGTGAGTCTGAATCACAGCAGCGTTTATCTTCTAATATGCGCTAAAGTTATTGAATAGACTGCGTTTACCACAAACTCTGTGCCTCCGGGGTACGAAGAAGAAGTTAGCTAGGTTAGCTTATTCACCAGCTCCTTGTTCGAGTTTTCCCCGTTCCACCTTAAATGGTTGCACAATTTAAGATGGAACGGGAAGCCTCGTGTTTTGTTTGGTAACGTTAGGCATGCAGCTAGGTAGCTAAGTTAGCTGTGTTTGCAGGTTGGTTAGAATCGCAACCTTTCAAGCAAATCCTACTAAAAGGCTGTTTTTCTTTTAGTTTCAAGTGACATGAAGTGCTCAATTCACTCAGCCAGCTACATTACCCAGCTAATTTTAGCTTAGGTTAGCTTCCAATTGGATTTTTTTCCGGTCCACCTTAAGCGGGGAAGTCCACCAAATTTAGTTAGGATGTAAACAGAGTCATTCAGAGTGGTTTGGTGTGAAATGCTCTGTTCTAGAGAAATATACTGAGTCAGAACTGTTTACAGTGGTGGTGATAGGAACCAGACGTCCACCTCTAAAAGCTCCCTCACGGAAAGATATTAATTTGAATGGTTGGTGATTTTTGAAACAGTGTCTCATATATATATATATATATATATATATATATATATATATATATATATATATATATACACACACACCCTGAATAGATTTTAAGCCCAAATCTCATTTCATAACTATAATTAAAATCTCGCACATTCATAACAACTTCCTATAAAATCTTTCTTTAAGGGAGCTTTTAGAGGTGGACGTCTGGTTCCTATCACCACCACTGTGAACAGTCCTGACTCGTACGTTTCACACCAAATCACTCTGGATGGCTTTGTTTACATCTCAAAGGTTTAAATATTTAGTTATGCAATAATGAAGCAATAAAGTTGCAACGAAGTTTTTATTTGATGCAAGAATCCACTGAAATAGCTAAAATAGACTCAGTCGTGGATTAAAAATAACAAAGTAGGTTCCTAACTCAGTTCAGAACGTACCATTAGTAATACTGAGCTGAGAAACCAGATCAATATGATTATTAAATCTGCATTAGACTGTAAAACAGCAGTGTAATAATAGTCATAATAATAATTGCAGCTGTTACATGTTTATCTTTGGGATTGCGACATGTGTGGCGAAGCTGCTGACCTTTAGCACTGTAGCTGTGGACTGTAGCACTGATTCTCGTGTTCAGTAAATGAGGATCTGCCCAGGGTTCCTCATTTGATATGGGCCTCGTTTAAGTCCCAAACTTTGTGCAGTTGCATGCTGGTGTGCTGTTGCATGCTGTCTTTCTCCCCTACTGAAAATCCATTGCTACTATTACTACTTCCACTAACAATAATAATAAAATTGCATGAGTGTGTATACATTAGGCTAACCTGTAGAATACAAACATCTCAGTTATTAAAAAAATGGTTCTCCAAAAATCGAGATGCACTGATATGGAATTTGTCTCGTAAACTGATAATTGCATTTATTTCAATTCAAATACTTTTTAAAATTGTTGATATTACCTTTACATAGATATTTACATGCAGAGATGCTGATCTAAAGAGCCTTCATGTTTGTGCATAAATATAACGAATCCTTAAAATGAACAACAGGGATGTGTTATTAACTACAACATCTACAACAGTGTTCAAGATCAGCTTTAAGGCTGTCAAAAATAAAATCATATCATGTCATACCCACGTAGCTAAAGGATCTCCCTGTGGCTACGTCTTCACATGGCGCTCCATGTATTGAAGGACTGAAGATAGTTTAGTGAAAAATGGCAAAAATGAGTAACAAAACAAAAAAAGCTGGTCACACTTTATTTGGATGGTCCTCTGTAGATGCTCTACAGACTTAAATCATTAAGAGACTCTCTGGTGATGTTCAGTTGATTATCAACAACATTATGGTTAGGGTTGGGGTTAGGAGTAGGTGTAGGTTTTGCCTTGAGGTTAAGCTTAAGGTTAGGGATAGATTTAATAAACTCTTTCACACTGAACTTAAAGTTCAGTTGCATTTAATGGACATTTAGTCGAATGTTACTTAAAAATATACTGAGCATTTACAAAGCGTCTACAGTGGACCATCCAAATAAAGTGTTACCAAAAAGTTTACGCAAAAGAAAATGGTCCCTGGCTCTTTTTGGCTTATGTTTTGACGTTGAAGGTGAAGCTGAGAGCGTCCTCAGTCACTCAGCATTGCTGAGGTGAACGTGAACACAGAGAGATATTAGGCTAATAGAGTTATCTGATATGTAAGAGTGTAACGTTTCTGGAATGGAGACCGAAACCGTGACACAAACATCCACGGTCGTGTGTCGCGGATCCGTCTTCCTCCCCCCACTGGTGGTTTTGGAGAGTAAATAAAGTGGCTGTGTATCTACAGCCATCCATAGCTGGGAGTCCAAGAGAGCACATTTGGCCTCGCTCTCTGGGTGGGTAGGATGGCCCCCTGCCCCCCCCCCCATCTGGTTGGCGCTTTCCTCCGAGCTCGTTCAGCTGTCCAATGACGTTGCATTAGCGGCAGTTCGAAAAAGGTGCGGTGGAGCTTCACAGGTCTCGAGGAAGCCTGTGCTAGCTTTCGCCCTCCCAGCGCTGGTGGTATCGTGTGACTGGGGAGCCCTAACTAGTGAGTGGAATTAGATGTGACCAAATTGGGGGGGAATATTGGGAAAAATAAAAAAGGCTATATTTGCATTGTAGTCATTGCGTCCCCTGGTTCCCATCACCACTGCTGTAAAGAAATCTGAGTCGGTACGTTTCTCGACAAGAAGGTCCGTCACATCAAACCACGTTCAGTGATTGTTTACATCTCAACAACTGAATGATGCAGAAATTTTGGAAAAAAAAACAATAGAATTCCTATTTAAATATATTGATTAAAAAAGTAACTAACCAAAATATAGTTAACGATGAAAGTTGTTTTTCTGTCAGAATTCACCAAAATACAGGGTGATTCAAAAAGATTCATCCAAATTCAAAATGATTTATTTCACTTGTAAATCGTGACAGATCAGTGCAGTAAACTGTAAAATGAGCATAAAGTTTATTATGTAATTGTACAAGGTCTCAGTATGAACCTCCTCCAGCTGTACAGACAACATCAACACCATAGTCAAACTCATCCCATGCTGGATTGAGCATGTCGGGTGTCGCTGCACTCACGGCTCTTTCAGTGCGATTTCGGAGATCATCCAGTGATGTGGAACCAACGCCGAACGCTCTGAGCTGTTGGAGGTTCACTGCTCACGAAAATCACACTGCACAGTTATGACGGATTCACTCTTATTGAAGTGGAGAACGCAGAACGCTTTCTGCTCAGGGGTCTCATCTCCTCTCAGACTGAAGGGATCCGTCTTCCACTGACAGTCAGAAACTCTATGACCCCCTCTTTCAATTGGATTGTGATTGGTTCCTCGGCGCCACACGGTTGTAAAAATATGGAGCTTTGAAATGAGATGAATCTTTTTGAATCACCCTGTAGGTTTCACTACGGGTGGCGGTGACAGGGAAACTCACTTCAGCCAGCAGAGGGCGCTGTGGGATCTAGAAGAATGGAAAGTTGCACCACTGTCGTCTTACACATGCTACTACACAATTTCAGTGCGTACACAGGCCGAAAGTAGGATGACAACTATTGCTTGTAATTATCAGCCATAATTGCAATATCGGGCCGATAATAATTGCGTTTTTCTATTTATTGTCAGATAAATAGAAAAATGAAATTATTATTAGCCTGATGTAATTCATCGCCCATGGATATATTGTGCATCCCTACCAGTTTACGTAATTTTTCCCGTATCCCGAATGTGAACAGCCAGGGCACGTCTGGTGTCTGAAATTTGCTTTTTAGTTTTCCAGTGGATTGAAGGCTAATATAGTCACGTGGTTTTGGGTGATGTCTATTACTTTAGCCTCATAGCGCCGGTGTAAAACTAAAGAAACACAACCTAAAGAAACACAAACTACAGACACCAAACTTGTCTTTTCTGATTAACTACATTTGTAATAAGGGGAAAATTTTGTGTGCATTTTTTGGTGAGCCAGTTCTTTAATGATGGTACCATTATGTCTTGCAGGGCCGCTTCTCAGCTGGGTGGGGAATTGGATTTTTTTTTATCTGGTGTTGAATTTTCATAACACCTATACTTAAACATTGGGCACAAAGGACACCCCACTCCAGCCTTAGAACCGGCCACTGTACGTTCTCAGAATGAGCAGAAAGTGGACAACGATTCTGTGACCGTTAGTACTAAAACATTTATCTGACCTTTATTTGGAAGCTTGTGCTCCTCTGGATGTTTAAAAACCTACTACCCAAGCCACCGCACGTCTTCGTGGCGTTATGGAGGACCTGCAAGACTCCGCTTTCAGTGGTCCTACTGCCATGAGTCTCACAACTGAATTAAGTAAGTAAAGTTTTAATTTATTTTTAATGCAGTTCAGTTGGTTTTAAAAGAACTCAGTATGTATTTTAGGGGTTAGAATCTCTAGACCTCTCACAGTTCGATTTGATTTTGCTTCAGGGTGCTGAGATTTTTCTCCTGCATTTGTCATGAACATGTACTGTTAGTTAAATTTTAATGTAGCCTGAACACTGCACACTTCGTCAGTCTGTAGGCCTGTTTTGTCATCTAATAAGTTAAAATAAAAAAGGAAAGGAAACGTTGTTTTACTGTTTTTTGTCATGTATTGTAGTATAGCTCAAAGTGTTTATTTTTTAGAAATTTTGGGTACTGATTAAGTATTTTAATAAAAAAAATATATTTTTTCACATTTAGTATTGCTTTTGTAAATGAAACATTCAGTCATATAGCCAAGGTATCATGACTGGTTTTAATACTGGTCCTAGCAGTTTTTGCTTACGCTACAGTAAATCCTTCAGTAAACCTGTAAACCTTACTCTGGATATGACTGGATTAGCCTGTTAGCAAGTTGTGGTTATTAAATAAAGCTAAATGCTTTGCTATGTTTTGT